GGAAGCTGAGAACTGGCGACTTTGTAGTACAACTTTAGTACGCGGAGTAGCCGGGGAGCTGGAAGATGAGAACTGGCGACTTGGTAGTACAACTTTAGTACGCGGAGTAGCTGGGGAGTGGGAAGATGAGAACTGGCGACTTGGTAGTACAACTTGAGTACGCGGAGTATCTGGGGAGCTGGAAGATGAGCACTGGCGACTTGGTAGTACAACTTTAGTACGCGGAGTATCTGGGGAGTGGGAAGATGAGAAGTGGTGACTTGGTAGTACAATGACTTGGTAGTACAACTTTAGTACGCGGAGTATCCGGGAGCTGGAAGATGAGAACTGGCGACATGGTAGTACAACTTGAGTACGCGGAGTATCTGGGGAGTTGGAAGATGAGAACTGGCGATTTGGTAGTGGAACTTTAGTACGCGGAGCAATCTGTGGAGCTGGAAGATGAGAACTGGCGACTTTGTAGTACAACTTTAGTACGCTTCATTCCAACTTGCTTTTTTCAGTGAGATTTCCTGGAGGCGTGCGCGCTGCTTCTCCCCTTACCAGCAGCCCAAATGCTCACGACGATGAGCTGGGCTGTCACCGCTTGGCCGCCGGTGGGGGGTTTGGGAGGCCTGCGCGCTAATTCGTTCACTATATGTACAGTGAAGACCTTCACCAGCCGCAGACATGGACATACACACACACAGACAGGGACTCATACACACACACACACATCACACACAGAGACCCACGCACTGCCTCAACTTACTCGGACACACACACAGACAGAGACTCATATACACACGGACATAAATACACACACAGAGACCCACACACTACCTCAACTCACTCGACTTAACACTTCACACTGCACACTTAACAGATAACTCGCACTCTGACTTCCTACGTGATGAAAAATGCTTTCGGGCCACTCGTCGTCTAGTTGGTATGTCTTTGAAGCTTCTTAGTAACAAGAAACTCTTTAGAAAGAAGCTTCCAATCACTCACTCATTCCCGACCTTAGGACCTCCATTGACCTCCTTAGGTCACAAATGCTGACACCTCAGGCTGTTTCTTCAACTCAGAGAGCCGGTGTAACAGATCTATGTATAACATCGGCTCTTTGAGACTGGACAGGGACCTCGTCTCTTAAAAAACAAGTTCTTTTCGCCCCCAAAGGTTCTGTCTCCCCAAGATCGGTCGGAGTTCTGCACGGTGCTCGAGCGTGCGTCCGTTCGACCACCACGCCGGTGGTTCCGTTCAGGTCTACAGGCTCTTCCCCTCCTTTGCATCGTACGTTGCGGGCTCGGGCGAGGGCGAGGGAGGAAGACGGGTCTTCAAAGGACGGGGGTTTTGACTGCAATAGACCAATTGATGGATTGTTGCAAGTTATCGCGTCTTTGAGCACATCCAGCATGTTTTTGGGAAACCATCTCAACTACCATAGTGGGCAAGGGAGGAGGTGGGTGGACGTGGACTAATTATATATTCACATAGAAAACCCACTTGAATATCAGATCAACAGACTCATACGGTTTGCCTTCGGCTATTGGGCCTACTGCTGAGGCTACCCAGAAGTGTCTCCTCTTAATGCGCGGGCCCTGGCCGTATGTCTGTCTCTGGAGCTGACACGGTGTTTGCCTGATGGCTAGAGACAGAGAGGGGGCGGCTCTGTGTCGAATCTCCGATGGGCCTGTACTAGTATGTAGGTGTCACTTCAATGAATGGAGAGGAGGAGTGTTCATACTTTTGCTCAGCAGACGGGACCAAAGATTGGAGATTGAACACCAATAGCGCAGACACATTGAGACGCCATAGAATGATGCGCATTAGCATTGCCAGATGGCACACAGAGTTCATATTTTGCTAGGTCTTTCCAATACACTTTGTCAGGTTCACATGTGACACCGATGGCCAAGGAAGAATGTGCGCTCCATCACCGATGTGACTCAAATCTTGGGCTATGTCTCCAAGATGATGTTCTGCAACATGGAGAACCCCACGGGTCACTACAGGCGCATCCACAGGTGGTGCCCAGGTGGTGCCCAGGTCGCCAGCGACAAGTGAAGGACTCTATTCTTTCCGCGCCGAAGACCTGTTGAGATGTGTACCGCCTGATCAGTGAATTAAGAGCTGGGTGAAGCGTAACACGACACGCAGGCTTGATCTCTCAAATCCTGCAGACTATACCACAGCACAGAACCTGGTGCGACGCTCAGGGGAGTCCAAAGACAGTTGTGCGTAAACCAACGTCCTTTGCATCAACAATGACCTGGAAAACACCACAAAGCGACAGCGATGTGCCCAATATGTCGGCAAATCAGCGAAATGGCCTTCTAAGATCTTCCAGTAATCACCTTGCCAGTTGGCCTCACTTTCAGATTTTCGGCAAGCAGCTGTGAGTTTCGGCTGTAATGCTCAGCAGGAGAAGTCGCAACAGAACATATACACGCTCCATGTCAACACGAAGCCACGGGGTTTGTGGCCGAAAGGGTTTGTGGTCGAAGGACGGCTCCGGTTCAGTGGTGGCCACGGAACCAGGTCTTGCTGGACAGCTGGGAGATGTCTGTGAAGCCAGGGATACCCAGGAGAGATGTGGGACTTTAGATGCCCAGACTCTGAAAAGGAATGAGCTGCAGGCGGTGTAGCTATGTGTAGCTGCAGTGATTTTCAAGTACAACGCATATTCCCCACAGTCAATCGATGTCAATAGGCGAAGCTTTCATTCTTTGGTGCAATCTTCTAAATGGAAATTCATCGCCAGAGGAGTCGAGGCGATCGCCAGTCCCTTTGTGTGTTCCCTTTCCCATCGAGGCGTCGGCAAGGTAAAGTGGATGTCTCCCAGACCGGCAATGGCTCACAGGCGCGTCACGGCGGCCGTGCGGCGGGGGTCGGCGGCAGCTTCTAAACTCGAGTTAGCGAAGCAGCTGAAGATAGCTTCATCACAACACAGCTTGCCAGAATTTGCCAGGTGGCCTTTCTTGGAAGGATCAGGTTCCTTTGTGAGCTGATATGCTTGTTAATTATATGGTTTTACTAACCTCTTAAAGGGGACGACATCACAAGGGACACAACTTAATTAGCTGGCAGGAGCCCAGCTGATACTGGAAACCTGGGATGTCTTCCGACCGGTTGGGGGCAGGCATTTTGTGTGTATATATACACATATTTATATGCATAATGCATATATGTATGATTATGTGGCTCAAGTCGGCACAGTCGGCAATGAGGCGTCACAGCACGCCCTCCTGGCGTCCAGCAGCTGTGGAAGCGGCTGCTGGACGTTTGTGTTTGCCTTCTCAGGCTTCTCAGACCTCGCTCTACCTGAGCTGCGTGTACGAACGATGGGCATTCAAGAGACGCATGGTGGCCTTGCAGGAAGCGAGGAAGAGGCGCAACGTGTGCGTGAGGGTGCTGAACGGCAGAAGCCGGAGGAGCTTGGAGCAGCAGGCCGTACTCAGCAACCGCTCTCAGCACGAGTCGGTCTTGGAGAGCGGGATGAACTCGGTGCCCGCGCCCCCAGACGCGGCACCTCAGGCAGCATCCATTCCAGCCATGCCAGCGGTGCCGGTGTCTATGCCCCATGTGACTCACGAAGGAGCTGCGGAGCCACTGCTGGCCTATACAGACATCCCTCCCTTGACGGAGGCGCAGGAACGGGCGCACGCGCTGTTGGAGGCATCCGGACGCTTCTTGCCATTGCCCAGCGATGTACCCAAGCCCAGGAGGTATTCGCCCACCACGCATTACGTGCACAAGGACCCGAATGGACAACCCTACTATCCGGTAGAACCTGCGCGCTCGTTCGATGACCCTGGTGCTTTTGAGCGCTACGACGTGGACACTTTGTTCTTCATTTTCTACTACCAGCAGGGCACCTATCAGCAAGACCTCGCGGCCAAAGAGCTCAAAAAGCTCAATTGGCGATACCACACCAAAGGCCAGATGTGGTTCCAGCGCCATGAGGAACCCCGAATGATCACACAAAAATTTGAACGTGGTACCTATGTTTGCTTCGATCATGAAACATCGAACCAGCGATTGAAGCAAGGCTTCATCTTTGAGTATGTTTGGTTGGAATCCGCAGATGTCTAAATCGAAGCTTACTTCCCTTGCCATCGCTGAATTCAGCACGTATACTATTCAGTGCAAATTTCAAAGTTCTCGCGCACCGGTGCACAGACTCATGGCCGGTCCACAAAACATGTATGATCATGTATGTATGTATGTATGTATGTATGTGTGTATGTATGTATGTATGTATGTATGCATGCATGTATGTATGTATGTATGTATGTATGTATGTATGTATACTACATATACATATATGACATATGTACATACAAGAGAAATGTTGATTGAAGTGAACCTTGCTGCAAGGTTTGGCACTTCTGTAAGGGTTGGTTCACCTTTCAGTAGCTCATAGCACGTCCTTGGCGGGACGCACGGCCGCGATCGTTCTCCGTGATCGTTCGCGTGAGCGGCATCCACCAATCAATGAAATGGGGAGGGCTTTGGGGGATTCCAGATGGAGGACCTGTCAAGTGAGGAAGCTGGCCTCTGGTTCTTCACATGTGAGTTGCAGATGTGCAAGTCCTGTGATACTTTCTGCAACAGGTCCGCAACATCCTCTTCCGGGATCAGCCATTGGAGGCACGAAATCGTCCGGCAGGGACAAGATGTCCAACCGCTTCGCTTCCACAAACTGCAGCAAAATCAGCTCTTCTTCAACTTTTTGCCAAAACCCAGATTCGTTGCACCTGCATAGCAGTATCACCTGCTGCAGCAAGAACAGTCCAGGACGCCTTTGTTATGCAGCAGCATGCGAGCATCACAAGCAGTCCCTCTTCTGCAGCCTGAGCTCTTTCATTCTTTTCGAAGCACTCTCGAAACATCCCCCAGGTGGCTGAGATATGGCCGAAAAACAGATCCAAAGAAAACACCCACGGTGGCAGGCTCCGATCGTCTCTGAGTGGCTCTTGCCCGAGGCGATCCGGGGACCGTGATGTGGAAGTCGAAGAAAGACAAATCGTGCAATATCATGCATGATGCCGGGGGATGAATCTAGACATATACATACATGTATACTGTGTGTGTAACATACATATATTTATAATGTTATAAAAAATATATATGCAATCTGCTGTATTCTGCGGCGATGACGATGAAAGCGATACAGTAGGAGGCTTGTTGTTGTTCTTTGATGTTCATTTATAACTATAAAGTCAACAGTGTGACATTTGATGGGGCCGTGAAGGTGGCGTTTTCATGATGCAAACAAACTCCGAATCGCCCGACAAGATTCAAGACAGGGCCAACCAACTGTTGGCAGTGGGCACTGGGAGAGGAAGCTTGACTCCGATTGAAGCTGAAGTTTGGTTAGTACATCCAGCAGTGATGAGCGGCAAGAAAGCCAACCTGCTTGGTGGCTCTCATTTGACAAATATGAGTCAGTCGGATCAATCATGACCTTGAAAGCGTGAAGAGAGAGAGAGAGGGGTAGCACGTTTGGCACGCTCCACAGCACGCCCGAGAGCGTGGGATGTTTTATGAAGCCACGAGGCTCGAAGTAGACCAGCCACATTTCTCCTTCCATGTTCGTCCAAGAAGTAGAAGGATCCTTCGGAGACGAACCTACAGTATAAGAACCCATGAGAACCCGCGGCTTTCGAAAGCCCCGGAGACTTGTTCCTGGCTCATGTTTTCCTTCTGAATTTTACATAGTCACTCAAACCAATTCCAAATCTTCCATTGAACCCCAATGCCCAATGCTTTTATCTAGAAATAGCCACAAAAGAACATGAGGATGCTGTTCATCGGATGTGTGATCCCTCCCTTTCGATCGGCCGAACGCTCCGGAGAGGCGGGCAAGTTGGAACTGGACTATTCCAGCTCCAGGAGACCTCCAGGAGGCCGCTGAGATGAGAATGGCACCGGGAACGGAACCAGTGGGGATGTGGGTGGTGAAGGGTCACCGCATCAGGAAAGCGGTTTCTTCATGTGTCTTTCAAGGTTTTGGAGACGTACTTCTTGAAGACCATGACTTTACCCAGAAGATGACTAAGGAGTATCGTTTGTTTTGTCCTAATCGTATCCTGAATATAGTGTGAGAGTGGTGACCGGGCCAAGCCTTGCCAATCTGGAAGATTGGATCGTGCCCCCTTTGTTTTTTTTTCACCAGAAACAGAAGCTACAGAAAGTGGAGAGTTTCTGCTACGTTCTTCTTTTGGGTTGGAAGCCTCACGGGTTTCGCTGATTGAACATCCAACCATTGTGCATTCTTTCTCTTTTTCTAGTAGTGGAGGGCAATCTAATACCCCGTCGTTGGCTTCTACGTGGCCAACAATCGAGCACAGTTTTCTGCCAATAATTGCTTGACGTGTGTGAAGCCAATTGCTTGGTGACGATAAAAAGAAACACCAAGCCAAGTACAAGCAGGTGAGATGCACTGGCAAGTGCATGTATTGGTTTGCTATAAAGGATAATGATAGTTTATATGATCACTCCTACCATCCTCCCATTCGTTTCCCTGGTGAAGAGTCTGGGGTTGTCTGGGAGTAAGGGGAAACAGCATGCCAGGTGCACAGGTCTTGGATGCTGACACCTTTCAACGGATGCTCATCGCTTTGCAGGTGAGCCGACCAAGTGTGAAAATGATAGGGATTGAGAAGAGTTCTACCTCAAACGTGAAATCCGGCGCTCAGAGCCTCTATGAAGGTCATGTCTTCTGTAGAACCATAGCCTTACCAGAAAATTTGAGCATCTAAGGATCTACAAAAACACCTGAGGTGGTGTGGCATCTCCATGCCAGGTGTGTGGTCGTCACTCCAAATCTGCTGGAAGGATCAGAACTTCTACAAGAAGGGTATTGCTGGCCACAAGAACGAGGAGAACGCCACAGCAAAGCAGGCCAGTTTCCCATGGTCAATTTAGGGCTAGGTCTTGGCGGTCTTGGGGATGGATTGGGAATGTTTGGGTGTCAACGTTACAACGTTAGTTGCACGCACACATTCGGCAGTTAAGTAGGAGTAGCTTCTACTTCTTGTCCATTAAGGTGAGCCACTAGCTGTATGACGTGCGTTTATGGTTTCCCATGTACCGTAGCCCTATCATCTACTGTAGCAGTGGTGGTTCTCACCACACACTCAACGTTGCGGGCAAGCGTTACTCTGTGTGCGATAGATAGCGATGACGGATTCATGGATCGAATTGCACACAAAGGTTTCGTCGGAAACCAGCACTTTCCCATACTTTCCCATCGAGTCTTCTTTCGCAAGCTGTGTTTTTTCTCTCATCCTTATCGGTGCACGCCTGTGACACGTCGCAACACAGACAAAGTCTCACGACTCCTTTCCACAAATCCTTGGAGAACGGACGGATACTGTAGTTTTGACCTCCCAGTGCGCCGTAACGCCCTTCATGAGTTACAGATTTGGTAGATTGACACTTGCTGAAACTGAAGCACTTCCCAGTACACTGCAAGCCGTTGGGTGACTTTCTGGGTAGGAATCAATCGCCGGATGACACACTCCAATCTCTTGCAAATCTCTTTTGGCAGAGGCGAAGCTTCCCCGCGATGACATGCAGGCAGGTCCATCGTTTTTGCAGGTTTTGTGGGGGAACCAAGTTCCCCCCAAAGTGCTGCTGTTTATTGTAATTGATGACTAATTGTACACTGTACTTACTTGGGCGGGCACCACTTTCTTCGTCGGTGAGAATCTCCTGTATGATGTAGGAGAAGTACCTTCTTGTCTGCACCAATGTTTGTTGGGAAATAGCTTGACGAACGACGGCGGAAGGAGATCAGTCACCATGAGCAGGAGATCGGTGCTCCAGGTCTCTGGCATCGCAATCGCTGCCAGCCTTTTGGAGGCCTTGAGGATGGTTGCGCACTTGATCTATGTCACAGCGCTTCAGACTCGAGCCTTGCTGGAGTGCTTTCTGGACCAGGGGTCTTTCATTCGGATTCACGTCGCTTTTTGCCGTCGATTGCTGTCGCCCACATCAGCATGTGGGGCTTGGTTTTAACCATCGTATTTTTTGGGCACCCGCTACGTTGCTACATCCACAGCACTTGGAACAACTCCCAGGATCTCCCAGAAGTTGCCCTGTTCAAGCGGAGTCACGATTTTAGGAGATCGACAAACAGCACCCCGGGCTCAACCCAAGAGGATGGCAGATGTTGATAGATGTTGTACCCTCATTGGTCCTTTGGCCGAAGATGCCCAGAGTTCATCAAAACTGCGAAACCTGACTTCGGTATCTTCGGTGCTTTTCGCAAGCCGCAGACGAAGAAAGATGAGACGAAGACCACACACGACCGCAGGATGAGAGTGACCGAGAAGATTGCCTCGTGACACTCTTCAACCGCAGCTGGGCGGTCGAAACGAACCGCGGTCAAAACCGAGTTCCAAGCTGTTTGATGAGATGAAGATCCTCACCGTGGAGCTGGTGGTCTCGGTGTGCTGGGATATGGGTGCTGGTGCTCCTGCGGGAAAATCGCGGGTCTTTTTGTTTGTTTGTCCAATCTCATCCTCAAGAAGAATATGGGACATAATGCGACATATGTAAGTGGAATTTTGGATTTCTCTCTTCTCATTTGCGTCGTTTTCCACATCCTCCATCAAGGACAATTTCAATGAGTCAATGTCCATCTCCTTCCCGATCCATCCCTCCGGCTACCTGAGTTTTGAATTCCGAACCAACATAGCACGAGCCTGAAACAATCCATCAAAGGTTTTCCACACTTGAATATACTTGAATATACTACTTTCTTGGCTGGGGGAGTATATGTCAACTAGCACCCACGTCACCCACGTCGACACCCAGGCATCGCCGACCTACACAATGAGAAGGTCTTCTCAGTCCGCTTTGAAGAGAAGGATCAGGGTGAACAGGCGGACGAAAAGACTGGAAGAGCTGTGTTTTTGCCTGTGTGTTTCAGGCAGAGGGGTTTTGGATGTGAACCTGGATGACCACCAACCACCCCTGGATGACCCGTGATCGAACGCCCTTTTTGCACGAGCGTTCTCGCTCGTGTCGCGGAGTGGCGCTGCCCAGGTGAACCGGCTGCGGAAGAGATTGGGTTCCTTGGTCTTCTTCCCGTGGATTCAGCCGGAGCAGGTAGTTGAGCCGGGCTCCGGGTCGATGTTACCAGCGTTTTCAGGTGCCAGGTGCCCGACTAGTAATAAGAAGCTACCAGTAGTAAGGCACCTTGCTACTAGCTTCTTGTGACTAGTAGTAATGCCCTTGTTAGAAGTAGCGATGTGCTTGTTATATACAGTACTAGTAGCCCAAATAGGGGCTTTTTCGTTTTTTCGGTATCATTGCTGAGTGATGGCAAGGATAGCCAGAAGCTGCAGAGTTAGCTTCGATCATGAAGCAGAAGACACCTCAGAGATCCTCAGAAAACTTGCGTACAGTAGTGGATAGATTGATACTGGTAGGACCATGGAGGATGTTGTTCCAATCTAAGCTAAGATCCAACAAACATGCTACATCAACTGCCCCTCGGTTCTAATTGGTGCGCTTGTTTGACCACTTTGTTTGACCAACTTCGGTATGTACATGTTTTATTTCCCTCAACTAGGCCATAGTAGGCCGGCCTACATAAATAGGGTTCCAAGAATGACATGTCATTCCCGATTCCTTTAAGAAGTCTATCCCTGGTGATGCTGGCGCCAGGCACGCTTTGCGCTGTGGCTTGAGAATGTGGATGACAGGGCTGCCCTGTGTGCCATCATTCACTTGGCCAAGAAGGAGTGATGGGTCAAAGACGGTGTTGGTAGAACTAGCCACTCAACTTGTCTATTACAAGACTATGATTAGTTTCTAGCTTATACAAACTTATGACCAACCATTTATTCAATACACATCCAGCTGGGACAGTAGGGAAGGCAACAGGAATGGCTAACGGCTAGATCTTGCATGCCGGGACGATCCAAGTGCTTCAAGGTGTTCCGCAAGTTCAGTGAATCTGAAAATAACACTGGTTTGACATGTTTTAAGCAATCGCAATGAAAGTAATATACCACACAGTTTGGCCCATTCCTCAGATTGATCATGATATATCATGATGATATATGATATACCACCTCTTTTCCTCCTCCTCTTTTCCGAGGAGAGGATGAGCAATATCCAGAAGCCTCGGTGGATCAAAGCGGACGGGACTGAGGATCCGCCGCGGAGCCCAGTTCTTGTTCACCCGAAAAATGAGAGCTTGAGCATGCTTGAGCTGGAGTTGATTCTTTTTGGAAGGGCATCAAAGGCTTCAGGGAGGTTACATGTGTGTGTAACTTGGATGGACAGTTTGGTCAGAATCACTCACACACATATATTTATCGACATATTTATATATGAAAGCAACACATGAGAAGAAAAGCAGGATGTCAACCTACTTACGATCTGATCGGGTGCAGTTTGCCCAACCCATTTCTGGAAGCCACTTCTGCAGCTCTCAAGGCTGACCTTTGGTTTGCCTCGCAGTGGAAAGCTGAGGGACCGGGGACGAAGTGATTCGGGACCGGGGATCAAGCACAATCGGAGGCATACATATATATATATATGTATGATAGAGGGTCCTTTAGGTATTATTTCGTTACTCTATCACAAGTCGGACAACTATTTCGTTACTCTATCAGCAATGGAGGCAGGCAATCCGCTGGGCAACCTGTATCCAAACCACACTCGGCACTGGTGGCCTTTAGTCGAAGACATTGTGAGGGCAGAGGATGTCAAAGGGTTGAGGCGAAGAAGTTTCGACACCCTTGAGCAAGACCGTGAGTTTGCTGTCCATCGATGGGACCTTGAAATTGCGCATGACTCTGCAGGGACAAGCCGCCTCCCGCGCATCATCACAGATCCGCAACGCCGCTAGCTTTGGAGACGACGATAGAGCTTTGAGACGGATCTTGACAATCCGCGCTGTGCTAGCAATGCAAGCCGTTGGAAGTGAAGATGCAGCCAAAGTGCGAGAAGTTCTTGAATCTTGCTTGTCGTCAAGAGCCTTGATGCAGATCAAGTATGTATCAACAGACACACCTTGGTCGAAGTTATATTCGGAATTGAAGAAGGTGTGCCCAAATCTTGAATGCCTGTCGCTTGATCCAGTCCACTTGGCTATTGTTTGCGAATATGCTCAGTGGGACAAAAGGTCGCCAGGATCAAAAGTTCTCCGGCAGTTGTTGAACCGCATCAACCAAACAGACGAGAGCTTAGGTTCAACACCGTGGGGTCCATTCTTCCGAGGCACTTCACCACCTAGCCTTTCCGGCGAAGAAGAGCGGATGCGTGCCAGCATCTTGAGCCAGTCCATTGGCGTTGCAGGCTCCAGAGCAATCCTGGATAACATTGATCCATCGGCCCCCATGCGCTGCGGCATCACTTTCATCGAAATTCTTGCAGCCATCAGCAAGTTGTATTCTCATGAAGTTGGGCGGAAAGTGATTCGGCCTGCGCGCCAGACCGCCTGGAATGGTTGTTCAATGGAGCGCGGATGAGGCACTGTCTGGACGCGGTATCACGTGCAATCTTGCCGAGCGGTACTTCTTCCAATGAAGCCCTCCATTCCCAAGTGAATTTCCTGGACCAAAACCATTCGTTCCTTGCGCCAAAGTACCTTGAAGCTCATGCACTTTGGAAAGCTGTTGACTCATCATGTGGCCTCGTGCTATCTTTGCGACAGGCAGACGTGGTTGGGGTCTTGCTCAACAAACAAGACCACTCTTCCTTTGCACGTGGGCCCGCGTAAAGGAAGCAAAGGAGGTGAAGGCCTGGGCCGCAAAAAGGCCTGCAGCCCACAAGGTCCACAAATCGAAGCTGAAGAGAACTGCCACTACGATCAAATGACAGCATTTGCTGATGACTGCGGGCATCAGGCCAAAGGACGCCAAAGGCTAGAGGTCAGCGCTGCGCGGAAAAAGGACTGACTCCTGCCGAACTGCGGGCGATGTTTCGTGTTGGAAGGATGCACGAGGAAAGTAACTATTGCGGATGGAAGAAATCGTTCACCATCAACAGTGTAGACCCCCCAAAAAAGACACAAGTCCTAACCCCGCGCCCCCATATCAATGTTGCGCGGATGGACGCGTGAGGTAGTGGAGGATTTGCTAGGTGTGTTTAGGCCTGGCAGGCGCTGGGTGCACACTCCATCACTGAATCTCACTGGCATGCATTTCCGCTCACTCAGGCTTCAGTCACCATCTTAATTGTAGCCATTTTGGCTCAAGGCTTCAGTCACCATCTTAATTGTCTGTCTCTAGGTCCTTTCCTGATCTCATCGCAGTGGCCATGATCTTCACTCCGGCAGAAGAACGAGTTTTGGATGTGCTCTCTGCCAAAGGCTTTGATGCCCGTGACCTTGCTGGTTTGACCCTGGAGGAGTTACAAGACGAACTGCCTACTGAGGTCCCTGAACCGATTCTGGAATCACTACGCAAAAAAGTTTGGCACCTCCATTGCAAGCCTCGCATGCACACCTGGAAGCAGCTTCTTCCATCAGGTCCATGTCCCCACATATCTTCTTCGGCTTCTGCTCCCGCACGAGGCCTTCTCAAGCCAACGGGACCGCATCAGCCAACCGTATCCAGCACGCGGCAGTATAAGCACCAGAATGTTGCAGTGGCTCTGGTCGAGGCTGTTCTCCACCCAGGCCTGAGCTTTGCCATGGAAGACCTTCAACGTTCCGGGACAGCCCGCGAGGTGTGGATTGCCACCACTGCTGAATCCTTGCTCGCGCGCTTTCAGCCTGGAACGCTCGCTGCTGTCCTTCGGACTTGGAACCGGCTTGTGCAGTGGCAGCTTGAGACCGAGGCCGCCCTGGGACCAGTCAGTGATGTCCTTCTCCACCAGTTCCTTCAGGCGCAGGGACGCAGAGGTCGCACAGTACCAGCTTCAGTGTACAACCACCTACGATGGCTCACTGACAACTTGAAAGTCTCCTTCCCGCTGGACTCGCCAATGTTGAAAGACTTTACTGCCGCTTCCGGTGCCACCACTACCTGGCCTACGCAAGTGAAAACTTTGTCTGCTCAAGTTTGGAGGCATTTGCTGCAGTTGGCCACATCCTCTTCTACGTCGTCCCTTGCCCTGGCCGCTGGCTTGGTCATTCGCTTCGCAGTTTCTGGCCTGAGGTTCAAACACTGCGCTCGTGCGAGTTTTGAGCCCGAGCTCTCTTCGATACGCACGGGTGTCTGGAAGGTCTCTCACGGAAAGGATGGTATGCCTTTTGCTGTCGCTCTGCCGATGTACGTTGAACCGGGACATCCTCTACTGAGCCATGTGCAGGCACGAGTGCGTGCTATCTTAGGCGTCGGAACACCATTCTTACCAGACATGTGGTTTGATGCTCAGGGGAGTGTGGTGCTCCGGTCTGCGCCTGCGGATTATCCCCGCTTCCAGGCCTTCGCCCGCTCCCTGTTGCATTTGCCACCCCTGTCGCTGACTGAGCACGCGGCTTCAACTTTTTCCACACGTAGTTTTCGTCGATTCCTTCCAACCGTTGCGGATGCCCTCCAGCTTTGCGACTCTGATCGCCTCTGCTTGGGCAATTGGTCCGATGGCCGCAAGCTGCCTCTTCCTGTTCGGTACAGCTCGGAGCGACTGGAGTCTGCTGCGCAGGTTCGGCGGCTGTGCTTCTGGCCTCCGTGCGGTGGCCCCCCATGTCGCTCGCTTGCGGTCGAACATCGCCACCTCCTCTTGGGGTCCTGGCGTGCGTGCCATCCCGGAGCCGGATCTTGTTGAAAGCAGCCCGGTGTCCACGGAGCGAGCATCTTCCTCTGGAGGCTCTGATTCCCCTTCCAGTGATGCCTCTACGGAGTATCTGCTGGCCCCGGCCGGTGATGCTCCTACCGATCCGGAGTCCGTCTGCTTTGTGTGCCCGGCCAAAGGCCTCTGGCATGCTGCTGCAGAACCTCAAAGTCTCACACCGCTGTGCTCCAGTCGTGTTTTCCGTCAACAGGGTATTGTGTGGGCCACTGGGCTCACGGCCGCGCTGGACCTTCATGGAAAGTTCTGTGCGCCGTGTCTCCTCAAAGTGGCCCCCGAAACTCGGCTGGCCATCCTGTCCCGGGCAACGCCCCGCTCGTGATCCGGCTAGCCGCTTGCGCAGAAACAGGCACACACCGGGTCGCTGCGCTCACGTTTTCAAGTGCTTTGAAGTTTTGCACATGTTTTTTTTAATTTGTTTTCCGGGTTTCGGGCGGTGACGCGTATTGTGCCTCCTGTCACCCGCAGTTTCCGTTCAAATCGTGGCTTTCCGTCTCTGACATGGCTTCTGGCGTGGAGCGCTTCGAGCTCCTGCTCGTCAATGAACACAAGGTCGCCGCAGAAGTCTTTCACTCTCTCAAGCACATGGGGTGTGAGAGCGTAGCAGACTTTGTGGGTCTGTACACCGAGGCTGACTATGAAGACGGGCTGAAAGAAGTTCTCCAGAAAACTGAGACCTTCAAGGACAATCGAATCCAGCTTGCCCGCTTGCGCGTGGCATGGGCCCGAGCCAAGCAAGACTTGAGCACCACCTCCTCTGGCCCACAAGAAGAGAACCTCGAGGCCCCTCTTCCGCCAGAAGTTCGGCAACGCCAAGAAGATGCTTTCTTCGCCAAGTACAATGTCAGGTTTCCTCCTGACCTTCTCCCTGCAGCCACTTTGTTTGCGCGGCACTTTCGCGAACTTCGCAGACAACACAAAGAGCTCGATGACTTGGCTCGTGTGAAAAGTGCAGCTGAATCCTCGACAGCACCAGCTACCGAGGTAAAGCAACTCGGGGACTTTCGTGTGGTCCTCAAGGCTGAGCCTCCGGCCGTCAGCTTCAAAGACCTCATCAGCTTGCTTCGTGCTCATGAGATTCTCCTCAACAGCTGGGCCATGGCTGGCACAGCAGAGCGAGACTCAAAGTTACTCCCGGGAACCAAAGTCTTGGAGTTCTCCATGTCCGACAACCTGGCCTACCGCACCTTTGCCGCAGAGCGCCTTCGGCGCTACCCCGGAACTGTGACGCAGGCCATCCAATGGTTCCTTGACCGAGATCGCCAAACACGCTTGGCCGCCATCACCTTGTACCAAGACGAATGGCCCTTGGGTGAAGCTCTCAAAACAGCCTATGAATCCAAGACAGCAGTCCTATGGCAGGTCGGGGGTAGTGGCGTTGGTGCTGTGGATGACGCCTTGTCCTCCAAGCCTCCTGAGCCCCCAGCGCCGAAACGCCTCCGCGTTGACCGGGCTGGGTCCTCTCAGGTCGACACATCCACAGGGAAGACCATTTCCGCCAAGGACCTGTGCGAGAAGTGGAACAAGGGACAGTGTACTCGTCGCCAAGCCGAATGCAGTGAGAAGAAGCTCCATCGGTGCTCCTTTCCAGTTGAGGGAGGTTTTTGCGGAGCCTGGCAACACCACGCCCTCAACCACAACAAGAAGTCTCGGGGCTAGGGACAACTCCTCACTGCTGGCCTGACCAGCAGTGAGGTCGTCCCTGCAGCTTCTCCTTCTCCTGGCGCTGACAAGCCCTCGGAATCTTGGTTTCGTG